ACATGTCTTACTTACCCACTCACCCAAGAATAAAGAGACATAAGACACACATTTTTCAAGGTTTTTCTTTTGTAAAGAAGCCAAATTTGGCAACTAGACTGAAAATCTTCCAAAATTCTGTACAAATGTGTAATATACAAATATACACAGGCTTTTTGTCAAGAAAAGACATCATGACATCAAATGACAGAGGTGGCTTTGGTGTCACATACCACCTAGGGCATCCCAACCTCTTCCAGAACGTGAGGAACTGGTGGACCATGACACAGGCTACACATGTAAAACATACTACATTACACTATGTACACCGAAGTATAAAAAAACCCACTGTTCTCTCTGGTCTGTTTACAAGCCTTCTGGTGGAAAGGAAGGTCATTCAACAGACAACCCTTATTAAGGGAGTTCCTTTAAGGTGGGAAGGAAAACCCTACAGAATGAAGTGATTCACTCTCTGAATTATTAACAGCACAAGGCAATGCCCTTAAAGACACAAGTGTTAAGAGTGAATTAAGGAGCGGAACCAATTCTTGTGCTCCTTGTCATCTCTTGTCTCACTCCATCTCAGTAAACCGGGCAAACATGGCTTTCCGGACAGCATCTTTGTAGGAATCAGCACCTGACAACCCATATGCGCTGCCTTTGGCTCCTAGGCCAGCTCCTTTTAGCCGGACTTGAGCCTGGGGGAACAAAAAGAAACTTAGCAGCTGGTAGGTAGGATATGATTGCTCCCACCTCTCAGTAAGCCCACTCCTTACCGAGCAGCACCACCCACCAGGAGACATAAGAGGAAGTTTTATATGAAGACTAGGATTTCTACATTGGAGACTTACAGCAGGTTTGTGAACTGAAGGAATAAAATGAGCTAAGGAATACAGGCAGATAAAGCCATATCCACTGTCCCTCAATGCCTGCTCAGCAATTATTCATGCCAAAAAGGGCCCCAAAGCACTCACTAAAGCATGGGGAAGGCCTGGTAATTATAGGTACAGATTATAGCAGGAATAGGCCAGTGCTAGCAGAAATCACTGGTGGAGCTCTTGCCTAGGCCAGTGGGTAGAGGCCTCTGATCGTGGGATTAAGTCTCCATCTGGGACCTCATCAATTTAGGGGTTTCTTGTGAAAATCTCACTAACTTCACCTGTCTATCTTATTGAGACAGTCTCACTTAGTCAACCTGGGTAGAGTGCTGTGGCATCATAGCTCACAGCAACCTCAAACTCTTGGGCTTGAGCAGTCCTTGTGCCTCAGCCTCCCGAGTAGCTGGGACTACAGACACCCACCACAACACATGGCTAGTTATCTATTTTTGGTGAAGATGGGGTCCCACTCTTGCTCAGGTTGGTCTTGAACTCCCGAGCTCAAGTGATCCACCCACCTCGGCCTTCTAGTGTGCTAGGATATAGGTGTGAGCCAACGCACCTGGCCCTAAATTTTAATTTTTTAAATACATACCCAAGATCACTTAGAAAGAAATTATAGTACCTTCTAAAAAATTCAATCTAAGCTAAATGGCCCTCTCAATAATGGGGTTTATTTATAACAAAGGAAATAAAAATACATGGTCTTCAGAAGAAAGTCGGTTTTATATAATCTATATTATATAATCTCATCCTATAATCCTGAATAGAGTGCCATGGCATCATCATAGCTCATAGCAACCTCAAACTCTTGGGCTCAAGCAATTCTCTTCCCTCAGCCTCCTGAGTAGCTGGGAGAGGCACTGGTTACAACGCCCAGCTATTTTTTTAAGAGATGGGGTCTCACTGTCTTAGGCTGGTCTCAAACTCCTGAGCTCAAGCAATCCACCCGCCTTGGCCTCCCAGAGTGCTAGGATTACAGGTGTGAGCTACCTCACCCGGCCCTGAGCCAGTGGTTCTCAACCTTCCTAATGCCTCCTAATGCTGCGGCCCTTTAGTATAGTTCCTCATGTTGTGGTGACCAACCATACAATTCTTTTCTTTTCTTTTTTTTTTTTTTTTTT